CTGCTTGGTCCAAAATAAAGAGGCCGACAGTGCCAGGATACGAAAAAAGACCCAAGAAAGGCTCCATGGCTGATGCCAAGTTCCCATATCAAGCCCTAAACCCTAAACACTCAACCCTCAACCCTACACCCTAAACCCTGAACCCTAAACCCTAAACCCTAAACCCTAAACCCTAAGCCTTACACCCTACAGCACCCTGCGATTCCGCGCGCCTGCTGCTGCAACGAGCGCAGTATGCATGTACCACAGGAACTCCTGCTTCGGTGAAGCTGATTTGCTGGTTTAGGGTTTAGGGTTTAGGGTTTAGGGTTTAGGGTTCAGGGTTCAGGGTTTAGGGTTTAGGGTTTAGGGTTTAGGGCAGGGTGGGAGTGGCCAGGTGGTTGTGGACTGTTTCTTAGCATTTAAGTGCCCCAGCAACAAGCTCCCAAACCCCGTGAAAACCCGTTCCCTCCGCCCCGGCGCTTGCCCTTCCCACTGCAGGATCCTTACTTGAACGTTCATGGTACTTATGAACCAATTAGAGCTGTACTTATAACCCAAACTGTAGCCATATAGGGCACTTAAGGGACTTACAAGTGGGTTGTAAGTACAGCATTGGTTAATAAGCACCATGAACCTCCAAAGCAAGGCATGGAAACAAGGCCTAGTGTGCGACTGCCTCCTGTCGCAGACATTCTACACGGATGATGAAGGATTGATGGCTTTGGGGTTTAGGGTTGAGGGTCCCTAAACCCGAAAACCCTAAACCCTAAACCCTAAGCCCTAAACCCTAAACCCTAAACCCTAAACCCGGCATTCCTAGAGTCTTCTCCTAGACTCCTAAATCTGCCAACCGATTCATCTATCGGTCTGTCAGTCTACCTCCCTCTCCGATTTGCCTGCAAACCCCAGAAACCTTGAACCCTAAACCCTAAACCCTAAACCCTAAACCCTAAACCCTAAACCCTAAACCCTAAACCCTAAACCCCAAACCCTAACCCCAGACGAGGAAGGCTCGTGGAGAACTCAGGTCCTCGATGTTCTTTGCCGGCTGGGACCCTGAAGCCATGGCGCGCTGAGTGCAGTCAATTTTCGCTTAACTTCGAGAACGTGGAGGACCTGCGCAGCGCAGGCCCCTCTGAGGCAGTGCAGAGTTGTGAGGCGTTCTGAAGTCGAAGCGAGTTAGATGCTTGCTCTTCGCCTCGACGCCGTTCACAGGTGGAGACGTAGCTGGTGAGGGTGTTTTGGGAGTCGTCCGGGGCAGCCTCCCGCAACCGCGTAGGTACTGCACCATAAAGGCGAAGCCCTAAACCATACCCTTCCAGGCCAAATTTAGCCAGCTGCTGTAAAAACCCTAGCGACCATGCCTGCGATCTTGGATGCTTCAGTTCTACAGGCACCCAGCTGCGAACCTCAACGGCACCGTGCATGCATGACCCTCAAACCTGAAGCCCTGTGAGGGACTTACATTCCTGTGCGAACGACTGGACTCCCCTTGGAACCGCTTTAGAAATGCGAACCCATGCACCAGGGGTCTGCAACCAAAAGCTGCAGCATCATTGAACGAAGGCTTCGCTTGGTGTGGTCCAAGGTATTCTGCCCCCTAAACCCCTAAGCCCGGCCCCGAGACTTGCTTGCATAGAGGGCCGCTTCATCTGATGAGAAGCAGAACTTTAGGGTTTAGGGTTTAGGGTTTAATTAGGGTTTAGGGTTTAGGGTTTAGGGTTTAGGGTTTAGGGTTTAGGGTTTAGGGTTTAGGGTTTAGGGTTTAGGGTTTAGGGTGGGGTTACAGGGACTGAGGACTTACCGAAACATCGTCGCGGCTGATTCGTCCAACAGCGCCGGGGCCGTGCACTTGGTCATCAACAACATCTACAGTATCCACTGAACCCTAAACCTTCTACATCCGCTGCACCCACTCAACTCTACAAAACCTATAAACCCGACAAAACCAAAGCCGGAAGCATCTGAAACCCCCCAAACAACGCCAAACTCCAAAGCCCCCCCCAAAGCCCTACACCTGCAACGGCTTAACGGCCCTGAGCCCTCAACTCTGAACCCAAACCCCGCAGAGTCGACGAGACACTATACACACAAGGTCCCTCTGTAGGGTTTTCAATGTCAGCACCTCAAGTCCAAGCACTCACTAGCGAAGCGCGCTACTCTGGCATCGAATATCCACTCACCCACGCCTTGGACCCCATAGCATTAAGAAATGATTTTCGTTTTGAATTACCCATAACCCAAAACCCAAAACCCTGGTTTTGAGCCCTAAACCCTAAATCCCCTGAAGTTCGAGGGTTTCTTCCCTAAGGGCCGGGGGGTGGAATTTGACGACTCCTTCGCGGGATGGCCGAAAAGTTGGCCGACGACTTGGGCAGGTTTATGCACATTAAACCTAAACCCTAAACCTAAACCCTAAACCCTAAACCCCAAACCCTAAACCCTAAACCCTAAACCCTAAACCCTAAACCCTAAACCCTAAACCCTAAACCCTGCTCTGGGTTTACGATGGTACCACAAACGGACCCTCTGGCAGAGACACTTACAAATTCGCAGCTGCCGGTGCGCGCACAAATCCAACAATTCCTTGGACTCTTCTTTAGCAACCTGGGGGCTCGGGGCGGCTTTTTGGGGACTTGGGGCTTCGGGCTTGGGGTTAGGGATTAGGGTTAAGGGTTTAGGGTTTAGGGTTTAGGGTTTAGGGTTTAGGGTTTAGAGATCTTCCCTGTACTGAGACAAACCTTCAAGCCCACCCTGCCCGCCGGGACTCTTTTACCTGTTTTGCAGCAAGGTGGACGAACGTCTAGATCACAGTCATTCTAGACAAACCAGTACGACAACAGAGGGAGGCGCACGCGTCCCCCTCGACCTCGACCTCCGGGCACACTGGCCAGGTCAAGTCGCACTAGAACCCTCCACCCCCCCCAGCCCTATTTTCGAGGGTTGTGGAGGGTGGGAAAGTCGAAAATGGGCTACGGTCGCACTACAGTACGACACCACACTAGCCCCAACCACAACTTGGAACAGATCACACAAAGCAACCCTACACTTTTGCCCCCGCGACACAGTGGCCCCTGAGAGCACGGTTGCTGCAGCATGACACTCAGCGTCAACGCAGGACCACGCAACACTCAACTAGACACGTCGACAGTACGCTCAGATCTCACTTAGATGCACGCGCGGGCACCTCGCGGGTTTAGGGTTTAGGGTGTGAGTCGCCTTCTCTGCGCTGCGGAAACTGAAGCTGAACATAACTGAGCCACCGCTTGAGGCGTCCGCGGCGGTCACGCCAATGCATCTGGCGGACAATCCGGACGTCTCTGAACTGTACAAAACCTGGGTTCCGGTTTAGGAACTCATGTATCAAGTTACCACAAGCAGGATCCAACTTCTTTCAAGTTCTTCTTTCAAGTTCATTGACAAAAGCCCAGATGATTCTGCCCAGCTCCGCCACCAGCGGATGGGCTGTGGGTTCACTGCCTCAGGGCCCTGGACGTTGTTCTCCTGGAGGCTCTTGCGAACCTACGCCGAAGCCTCAGTCCATGCCAGCTGACCATCAAGGGATGAGGGTGTAGGGCGACCCTGGGTGGGAGGTTTAGGGTGTAGGGCGTAGGGATGAGGGTCGAGGGTTTAAGGAAGGGTTTATAGTCTAGGGCTCTAATTTGGGAGGATGCCGGAACCAGAAATCAGAGCTGCAGTGGAGTGCTTGAACACTTGTGTCTATGTATATACATATATAGATCTATGTGAGCTTGCAGCCTTTGGGTTTTAAGTAGCATTGCATTTCTCCATTTATATACAAAACCCTATATCTATATATATATGTATATATATATATACATCAAATTCCTCAAACTTAGAAACATACATGTGCGCACGCGCATCGTTTCCGGCACCTTAGTCAAGTCTGGAAATTTGAGTATGGGTTTGCCTTCTCCTTGCTTTTGTTTAGCTTGTGTGTTGTGCTTGTGTGTCATGCCAGCCCGGAGTGTTCCTGTCAAGGTTTGAGAGCTGGCATCTGAAGAGTATGCCTTTTAGAAAACCTGGCAGTGAACCCCCGACGAAACTCCAGTAGCAGTTTTGAAGCGCGGGCCTTAGTGCGAACTGAGGATCTGACCAGTCTGTATGCAAGTGCGATTGCGGCGTTCGATGGGGTTTGTTGAGTCTGTTTCGCTCCGGCTTGATGTTTGAGTCCGCTGCGATACCCCTAAACCCTAAACCCTAAACCCTAAACCCTAAACCCTAAACCCTCAACCCTAAACCCTAAACCCTAAAGAGATTCACGAGAGGGAAAGCCACACGATTTGACGAGAAGCTTGCAGCCGTCCGAAGTCCAATGCTGTCGATGCTGCACGCGGCGCCTCCAAACAACGGCTGAGTTGGAGTTTAGGGCTTAGGGTTTTGTTGGGTTTAGGGTTTAGGGTTTAGGGTTTAGGGTTTAGGGTTTAGGGTTTAGGGTTTAGGGTTTAGGGTTTAGGGTTTAGGGTTTAGGGTTTAGGTATTAGGGTTTAGGGTTTGGGGTTTGGGGTTTGGGGGTTGGGGTTTGGGTTCTGGGAGGGGAGGGGTGCAGGCAGCAGGCTGGAAGGATATCTTCACCATGAGATCCACTCATTCGCGCACGTCGCAACACTCAGGTTCAGGAGCACCCCGAAAACGGGTTGAGGAGCACCCCGAAAACAAAAGAGTAAGCCCACTCTGGGTCTTCGAGCAAGGTTCTCCCTGAAAACCCTTTAAACTCTAGGAGAATGAGAGTTGTCCTGGTTGCATGCCTACTCAGAACCGCCCATAAACCTTACATGCAACCATGTCTGGTGTCGGTTTGGGGGGTTTAGGGGCTTAGGGCACTCTAAACCCGAAACCTTGACACCCTAAATTCCAAACTTAAGTCCTAAGCCCTAAGCCGTCAGCCCTAAACCCTAAACCCTAATTGCTGAGGCCCACGCTGCTGAACCGACTTCCCGTCGAGAAGCGCTCGCACTTTTTACTTGGAGGTGCCAACAGAGTTGATTAGAATCACATTAATCCGGGCTCTCAGAGCCCTCATAGCGATGCGGATCCCAGGACTCACTCAAGCTGAAGGCATCGTCCTCAAATGGTGCTTTGAGAGATTCAAGGCCTGGGATGAGCAGCTGCTGGTTCAATGCCGTGGCGGCGGGGTGGCGGTGGTAAGACTTTGAGCCCCGAGCGTCGGTTCGCACCTGCTGCATGAAGGTCTTGGAGAGGGGACGTTCCTGAAGCAGGAGGCTGGCTCACCAATGTTATCCTCATTGCTGAGGCCCACGCTGCTGAACCGACTTCCCGTCGAGAAGCGCTCGCACTTTTTACTTGGAGGTGCCAACAGAGTTGATTAGAATCACATTAATCCGGGCTCTCAGAGCCCTCATAGCGATGCGGATCCCAGGACTCACTCAAGCTGAAGGCATCGTCCTCAAATGGTGCTTTGAGAGATTCAAGGCCTGGGATGAGCAGCTGCTGGTTCAATGCCTCCCCCACCCACCCCTGCGGCTCGACGATAGAGAAGCGCCATGAGCACCAGGTGAACGATTTCCAAAGGGCGGGCTGGGAGGGAAGCTCCAGGAGCCGGCGTGGGCGGCGGACTGGGCACGAAGGACGGGTCCGTGAGGTAGGGCGGTGCTGTTGAAGGCACCACGTTGGGCCACCCCATCCAACTTTCTAGGAGCTCCACCAGTTGCAGCTCCAGCTCAGTCACTGCCAGGGAGGCATGGGAGATACCCATGCGAACTTCTTGCCACAGCTCATGGGCCACACGTCCAAGCACCAGAATCATGGCTCGACAAAGCAACCGTATGATCATGGAGGCCAAGAGGGCGACGAGCCTGGGGCATATCAGCACGAGGAGGAGAACCGCACAAGTCTTCCAAAGGCGAAGAGGACGAAGGAGCCAGGACCATACCATCTGGCGGACCTGAGGTTCCTGAGCCGCCACTGAAGTTGAACCACGTCGCGCCAGAGCGCCTCGGAGAGGGCGGGGTTCCACGGGCTGTGGGCCCTCTAAAGTGTCTGCAGCACGGACTTCACCAACATCAGGGCGTAGACCTTCCAATAAGCTAAGCATGCGACAGAGCGCCGCCGTGAAACGACGCGCGTTGGATCCACTTCTCCATCGCGAAGCTGACGCCCAGGAGGAAGCATCTGCCACCACCTCTGAAGCTGACAGACCCGGCTCAATTTCCTCAGGCCCTAGCTGGGCCGCGGCTTGCTGCAAAGCATGCCGGACTGTGGTGGCCGCCGCTGTAGTCCTTTGACCCTCCTCTGCATCGGCTTGGGGACGCCCGGCTGCACCTGGCACCAGATCACCAACGCCTCGGCTTTGCTTTCCACCCTCCGGAGCCTTGCCCCTGATCCTGCTAGTCGGTCGCCGCGAAATCCCGCCTTGATCCATTTTCAGAACCACGTGCCGCCGCAGACCAAACTGAAGAAGAAACTGAAGAAGCCTTGGGAAAAGACGCGTGGTCCTGCCCTCAAGCACCTCCAGAGCGTCCGCCAAATTCTCGCAAAGCACGAAAAATGCGGGCAGACATAACCCTCCAGTCTACAGGTCACTGCTAAGGAGAAACTGCGCCGGCAAGTGAGGAGGCTGCTGCAAAAGATGCACAAAACGTTGGGCGCTCTCCAACTTTCGTCGACCCTCCTCAGGCGCCTGCTGTGCGATGTGGACGCTCAAAGCTTCGTGGATGTAGCTTTTTAAAGACTCCAGTGACTTCCACCTCCCCATGAACTGCAATTGTGGGATGTTCTGGTTGACGCGGTAGTGATGCGTCGCCCCCCCCGCTCTAAAAGAAGACGGCGTATACTTGCAACCCTCGAGGCTCAGACGACGCAGCGCCTCCTTCATCCGCTCTCCCCAAAGCCTGCGAGACATCGGAAAGACCAGCTGGTTTGGCCGAAGAGCTGCCGTCCACCAGGACAACCAAAGTACCACAGCAACCTCCTTAACTAATACCATCTGAGTGCGATATGTGCGACGAGTTTTTGGCTTTCGGATGAGGATCACTAAGCCCAACGCAGCCTCCCCCATAGCCACAGCCTCCGGGAAGGCCAGATCCTTCTTTCGAAGGTTCACCACCTCGCCAGGCCTCATCAAGCCCCAGAAAGCCAACCATGAAGCAAGCATGGTAGCCCACCAAATCCGCCGAGCCCAACCCGTGACCTTCTGGCCCTCGCTCAAGCACGTCAGAAGAAGCCCCTGCAGACCCACATGTGTAATTGGGACCCTGGACCTGCTGGGCATGAGAGCTCTCCAACCTCGAATTGACGCCCAGGTAGCCCTCAGCATAGCACCTGCCACATTAAGTCGACGCTGAACTCCAAGAACACCTAGAGAAACCCAATAGACCTTCTCCCCCTCGTCATATGCAACCTCGATGGCTCGAGACAATGCGTAGTCAATGCTCCTGGCTGAAGACGACCTCCTCAAACGCATCCCCAACCGCGAACACACAGCTAGAAGCCACAAAGCTGCATCCTGTAAGTTCCTCCTATAGGCCAGTGTGAGGCCTGCGTTCTGCAGGCGTCCGGTCATGGCACCAGCTCACGTAGGCCTGGGCAACGGCGTCACACAAAGAGCGAGGGTAACTCCCGGCAAGTTTGGCTCGAGCACCCCGAAGCGGAGGTCCATGGCCGGGACATCCCGGGCAAGTACGTACAATGCGGCTGAACCATGGAGCCGTGGTGAGGATTCGAGTCGGCTTTTTGTATGGTAATTCTCCCTCTGCGACACTGCTATAGGCACACATGTGGAGCTCGTGCATTGTGACCCCGGCCTTCGCCCGCAACAGCTCAATCTCCCGAAAAAGCCAACCGTAGCTGCCCTTGGGGTGCTCAAGAAAGAAAGGAATCCCTGCTTTCAAAGCAAGCTCAGCCAGTGCGATGGCCCTCCTCCACAAGAGATTTCCGAGAGCCGTGCGTGGGTTGCTTGCATCCGCCTCCGGCTGGCCTTTGGTGCGAAGGGGGCCCCCGGCGCCCAAATTCGTGAGGGGCGAAAAGGAACTACACGGGGGCGACAGCCAAACCCAAGCAACAGCCCTGGTTCTAATGAGCTCAGCCCAGCACTCCTCCAGAGCGTCCTTGCCGTAGAGGAGGTCGACAGGGCCCAGCATGGCGCAGCCTGCACGTATGAAAGCTGCTGTTAGGACCGCGGTTCCTGCAAACACTTCAAGCCCTGGCAGTGCAAGTTTGTCTCCACCTACTCCAAAGCGTCGAAGCCAGCGGGGAGGATCTCGAGGGACTGGAAGCGGGGTAAACCGTGAAGGGTAGTCTCCGGGGTTCGAATGTGTTTCTATCCACAAGATGCCAAAGGAGACGTTGCCAAAAATGAGAAAAGGTAGAAGACTACGAAGGCAACCATTCAACCGAAACGAACTTGACCTGCCCTTTGCAAAAGCCCCTACACATACCCGACTGTCGTTCAAGCAAATCTTGATCATCCCGTGGTTGGCCGGGTCCGAGGCAAGGCTGGCGAGCTCCTTCTTGAGGGCGCGTGCCTCTTGCAAGTTTATATGGGAGGTTTTTCGAAAATGGTACGAGGACGCCACGTTCCAATCCAAGCACTCTCCACACACACTGGCGAAGATAGAAGGTTCCTTTGGCTCACCAACCTCGATCTCGAAGTCAGTCGTTCGGTCCAGTCGGACTGCTTCACCTCGGTGCTCCGACAGTCTCCACAGTTCACGTGCTAGAGCTTCAGGCACCTGAGCAACGACGGCCCCGCCCGAAGTCGGTGTCGCGTCCGTCGCCAAAACCTCTTCGGAGATCCACCTGCGCATGCTGGTGTAACAGAAAGGGAGGTGAAGGCCTAGGCTACGAAGCTCATCCAGCACGAAAGTTGGGAGCCGAACAACCCCACGAGGAGGCATGTCCGACATGAACTTGTAGATGTGGTGCTGCAGGCAAAACATCTCCCTCCTGTATTGAAGATGGAAAGTGATCAGCCCCACTAGCTTCTGCAAGGCTGCCTGAGTGCAGTGCCCCAGGCGCACGACTTGGCGGATGAGAGACCACACCTGCCGGCGGGCGCCCAGAGGTCCCGCAACGCCCTTTCACACCATCGATCTCTGCTCCCCAGGCGCGAAACTGAACTTCACCCCGGAAGGCTTTATGTTCTGCCCTGCGGAGACGCGCCTCCAAGTAGGCGGCCTCTGCCGCCGCCATCCGTCGCATGTCCTCGTCCTGGGGCATCGGAAGCGGGGGTTTGAAAGAGCCATCTTGAGGGACAGGGTGATCCAGTTGGCAACGAAGAGTCACGAGCAGATCATCTAGGTAAATGCCTTCCCAGAGGTCACTCTGAGGAGCCGTCCGGCCATAGATCAAAACGGTGTCAGGCTCCAAAAGTCCGGCCCTGCGAAGTATGCTCTCATGCGTCGCCTGCGCTATAGCGCAGCCGTTGACATCACCCATCCCTAGGACGCGGAAACAAGCTCGATGGGCGATGCTGGGGTCCAAGCCTCGCTCCACAAGAAGCTCTTTGGAGACCCTTCTTCCCACACTGTTGAATCGTATCCAGGCCTCAGGGAGTCGCAGCATATAGTAGAAGTTGCGTAAATCGTCACCTGACCCTCTTACATATTCATGTGGTTTGAGTAGGAGACGACAGTAGCACGCCCCATTTGGCAGTTCGGCCCACCGAAGGCGAGGCATCGTGGCATTCTCGGGCCGCCTGTCATAGATGAGACGGTCTTCGACATCGTTTTTGCGGACACTAAAGAGGCCGCCTACTCGGATGTCGCCCTGGCCATCCCGTGGTAATTCTCCTTCAGGCACTAGCGTCACCATGTTCGTTTCAAGCAGTTTGCGAATGACCGCCTCCTCTTGGTCCAGCGGGACCCTGTGGCACGCCACCACTTTCTCCCCCCAAAGTTCCTCAGGCAGGCGCAAGCGGTCAAGGTTCTCAAACACCGCTGCGCGGTCAGGCTCCAACCAATCGGCTGGATCCACTAACCCGGCCTCGGCGGGCACTGCGACCCTCTCTGCCACCACAGGAAGAGCCACGCCAGCTTCCGGCGAAACCTGGGGACCCACATCGTCATATGAGGACGTAGAGCAAGACAAAAGCTCCAGGAGCGACTGAAGGTCACCCCTCTTCCCTTCACAGCAAAGAGTATCCCTAAGCAGTTCGGGGGTACTAAAACTCACCACCTCGCCAAGTAGCCGATCAGCGAAAGACCTCATGTCCTCCATGCTTCGATGGACCACTCGCGGCTCGAAACGGCCATCCCGACACTCAGGGCAACCCAAGACCACGAAGTTGGACCAAGCCACGAACTCATTTAAGAGAGACTTGCCCCAGAACTCCGCGGCCTCATCGTCCAAGAGTGCCCCCCCACATTCGGAAAGAACCTCAGGGTAAGGAAGGACGCCCGGAAAAAGAGGCTGTTCGATGCCGGACCGCTCCGGCGTAGTACCTTGGGCACCTTGAAACCACGTATAGTATCTCTGAAATTTCGAATTCCGCCCTGGCATCAGCAACGGAGCTGTACACTCACCAACGCCAGTTCCATGCAGCCTCGAGGGTGTTTGCTTCACTTCTTTCGCCGGTCTCCGGCGCCGGCCTCGTCGTCGTCCTCGTCTCCGCCCCCAGCACCTGGACCCGTCTCCTTCATCCGCTTCCTGAGCTTCGACAACGCGTCCATGTAGCCGGAGATGACCGCAAGCTCCTCCTTGGTTCCGCCGAACTCCCGCTTGGCCAAAGGATCCGGGATCCCCGTCAAAAGCCAGGCTGTCGTCCAGTCGCCCTGCTGGAGCACCGCCTGAACTTTCGCCTTCATGTTCTGCACCAGCTGGGCCATCGCCGCCTCGGAGTTGCCAGCCCTGAGGTATTCGTAAGCCTGGGCATCCATGACCGCGCATCTGAATATGCCTTTGAATCTGCCCCACGGCTGGCGACGCAGGTAATCTTTGAGTGTCCAGGCCTGCCCCGGCACGACCCCCAGCTCCTCCGTGATCTCCCTCTCGTACTCCTGGTAGATCTGTCGAGGGCACCGTTGAATGCGCCGCTGCAGCTGGTGGAGCGAAGATACTGCTCTCATCCCCTTGTCGCGCCACTCTTCCCCTTCTCCTGCGCTGTCTTCTGAGGAGTAGCCACCAAGGTAGCCGTGATCTCGCTCCCGCTGCTTGCGACGCCGCTGCCGCTGCTTCTTGTCTTCCATGTAGTTCAAGAGGAGCAAAGGCATCAAGTCTCCTGCGCTGCGTCCTTGCGCCAAGCTTAAGGCCATCATCTTCTGCAAGTCCAGCTCCTTGCGACCTTCTTTGCGCTCCCCTTCTTCCACTCGGCGAGTTGCTCCAGCCGGGGCCCCCGGAGGAAGGAAACTTGAAGAAGCCGCGCCCCGCGACCTCACCGGAGCTGGCTCGTCCTCTTCGCTGTCGTCTGAGGCCTCCCCAAACAGGCCTTGCAGTTGAGCTAAGTCCTCCTCCAGCTCGGTCAAGCCCTTTCGTCGGCCGCTTGGCTTCTTTGAAGGCAACGGCGGATCTTCCATGAGCTCGGCCTCGCTGCTCTTTAGCTCCCGGTTTACTTCCTTCCAGCCTTTCTGGAAGGTAGTGTAGCTGGCCAAGTCTTTGGCCCTCATGCCTGACCATTTCTGGGGCACGGCTCCAGAAGCAGCCGCTTTCGACACCCGCAAGTATCCGCACTGGTGCTGACTCACTTTAGTCGTGACGGTCTCCGCCACTCCTTCTAAAGAAGCGGCCGGGCAGCCTATTATGAGATCTTCACCAATCACTTCAAGGCACCATCCACACACCGATGCACTGCCGCCTTCTGAAATCTGTGCACGCACGTACACAATGTCGCCTGGCTCCGTCATGGCGCGCTACAATCACCCTTTAAGACTTTGAGCCCCGAGCGTCGGTTCGCACCTGCTGCATGAAGGTCTTGGAGAGGGGACGTTCCTGAAGCAGGAGGCTGGCTCACCAATGTTATCCTCAACCCTAACCCTAAACCCTAAACCCCAAACCCGAACTGCCTGCGAGTAGGGGCGCGCCACGTACCGCGTCCTCGCGGCTCTGGCGTGACAAGCATCGCGCTGCCTTGCAGGCCCCACGGCAGTGCTGTTCCTAAACCCTAAACCCTGAACCCTAAACCCTAAACCCTAAACCCTAAACCCCAAACCCTAAACCCTAAACCCTAAACCCCAAACCCTAACCCTAAACCCTAAACCCTAAACCCTAAACCCTAAACCCCAAACCCTAACCCTAAACCCGAAACCTTGTCTGCCAGAGAGCTCCATGAAACCCATGAGTCAGGAACAGCCCCTTCAAATGATACCAGGGATGCCTTTTCCTGATTTAAGGAATACATCTTAACTAAGAAGGGTGTTTAGGGCTTAGGGTTTAGGTGTTAGGGTTTAGGGTTTAGGGTAAGAGGTGCATGTGGGCGCATGGACTTTGGGTTGAGGGTATACCCAAACGATGAACCCCTTACGTAATTCCAACATGGTACAACCCTTGTCAACTTGTTGCAGGAGTCCCCAGAATAGGTACCCTCAACCCTAAACCCTAAACCATAAACCCGAAACCCTAGACCCCCATATGCCTAGCTTTTGCATCCGTACACCGACATCCTTAAGTTTGTCAACTCTGAACGTGCGTAGGGATTAGGTTTAGGGTTTAGGGTTTGGGGTGTAGGGTCTAGGGTCTAGGGTTCTAGGGTTCTAGGGTTCTAGGGTTCCAGGGTTCCAGGGTTCTAGGGTTCTAGGGTTCTAGGGTTCTAGGGTTCTAGGGTTCTAGGGTCCTAGAGTTCTAGGGTGTAGGGTGTAGGGTGTAGGGTCCCCCTTATACTAACAGTCCTTAACAGGGATTGTAGTACCCCCCCGATTATAATCCCTATAAACCCTAAACCCTAAGCCCTGAACCCTGTTTCAGGTTCGAGCTTCGTGGCTTACTATTTGCTGAAGAACCCCCCCCCAAGACAAAGGACAATCCCTAAACCCTGAAGCCCTAAACCCCCTAACCCTAAACCCTGAACCCTAAACCCTAACCCTAAACCCTAAACCCTAAACCCAAGCCACGAAAGTGGCCTTCACCTTGCGGTCGGTGGGAGTCCAAAGAAGTCTACACGAAGAAGAGGTTTGGCCTTCGCAATCGATCTGAGGGCCCTCATTTAGGGTTTAGGGTTTAGGGTTTAGGGTTTAGGGTCAGACATAGGGTTTGGCTAACCCTGAGAATGGGGATTTACGAACATAGGGGACCCCAGTATAGATGCGCAAATAGTTGGATCCCGTTGTAATAAGAAACCCGATTAAGGCACACCCTAATTTCGGAAACCCCCCCAAAGGGGTTTACGGTCTAGGGCTTAAGGTTCTAAATGGGTTCAGGCCCTATGCGAACATCTGCACACATAAACCCCAACCACCCTGCAAGACTTCCGGGTCCGGGTCTGTTGAATAAAAACCCGAATCCACAATTGTCGTGCTCTCGACTCATGATGTCATGGCGGCAGCCAAAGAGTGTAGACGGCCAGGTCCTCGCCCATTGGGTGGCGCTTCTGCTGTGTCTGACTCATGCAGGAATTTGGTCAACTGGAGCGCGGATGCACATGCACATCATTACGATGGGCAATCCCCGGAGGTAGAGTAGGAGATTCACGGGCCGATATCGGCAATTGGGTGGCAGCGGAAATTGCGACAAGCTGATTTGCCTGCGTCAAGGGGATTCTGCTGCCGGCGAGACGCACCATTGCGCTGGCGTCAGTGGGCATGGCTGAGTTCAGCATCGAGGCATAGTCCGTCTGGGAGGACCAAAAGGTCCGAATTCAATCAAAGGTCCGGATTCAATCAGCACAGCGCTGACGACGCGAAATAACCCAAGCCACCCTAAACTTTAAACCCTAAGCCCTTAACCCTAAACCCTACGCCCAAAACCCCAAATCCGAGGCAGCAAGGTTTAGGGTTTCGGCCCATATGCGGAACTCCCAAAAACTTTTCCTGAGCCGAACAAGCCCTACAGGCCGTCAACTAGGAGTCAAGAACCTCAAATACACCCCTATGTCATTATGTGAAGGGTTTTGGATTTATGATTTGGGGTTTGGGGTTCAGGGCTATGTGAAGTAGGGCTTCTATTCCTAGAATCCCCTGATGCCCCTTTTTATACAGGGCCCTCACCAAAGCCATGGTACAGCCCTGAACCCTAAACCCTAAACCCTAAACCCTAAACCCTAAACCCCTAAACCCCTAAACCCCAAAACCCCTAAACCCTAAGCAAGGATCGGTGCGGATCCTGGCTGATGCTTTCCCCTACTATCATGGGACTCTGCCTTGGACCCCTAAGGGCTGGACAAGTGGGCCTCTAAGGGAAAATGAGGGCCACGTTTGGAGTAGGTTTAGGGTTTAGGGTTTAGGGTTTAGGGTTTAGGGTTTAGGGTTTAGGGTTTAGGGTTTAGGGTTTAGGGTTTAGGGTTTAGGGTGTAGGGTATATTATTCATAAAATTCAAAGGGATAATTTAAGGGGTATCATGGGATTCTGCCTTGGACCCCTAAGGGTTGTACCTTTGGGTTTGGGTTCCCTGTTGAAGATCCTCTAAGGGAAAATGAGGACCATATTGGGAGTATATTAAGGGAAGTTCTTCGGGGTGCAATCTTAGGGGTCCGGGTATGACTCCCTTGATACTCAGAACCCCGTGACCGACTCTAGAGCCCTAAACCCTTTAAAGCCCCGAACCCCAACCCTGCAAAACTCTCTCGACCCCTCAACGCCCGAAATACCCTAAGCCCTAAGCCCTTAACCCTAAACCCTAAACCCCAAGCCCTTAACCCTAAACCCTAAACCCCAAGCCCTAAACCCCAAGCCCTAAACCCTGAACATCTTTCCCCACGCGCAACCTCCAGGTCTTCACCTCTCCGCTGGGCTGCGAAGGGAGGTCGCTGCACCTGACGTCGATTTCTTCTGCCATCTTCGGCGGTTTTGGGGGGTTTGGGGTTCCTCCAAACATCCTCAGAGCCGGGTGCACTTTTGGGGGTTTGGGGTTTGGGGTTTAGGGCTTGGGTTGGGATGTTCCCCCCTATACGAACATTCCTTAATTTGAATTCTAGTAGGGGGGACTATGATCCCGATTAGGACTGCCACTCCTAGGGGGAACATCCCAAGGTTAGGGTTTGGGGAGGCTTGGGGTTTGGGGTTTCTGCGAGACTAATCCCGAAGCGCACGGTCTGGGGTTTGGAGTTTGGGGTTTAGGTCTTGGCGGGTTGAGGGCGACAAGGGTATTGAGGATTTAGGGTGCTTAGGGTTCATGTGAACCCCAGGAAACCATAAGCCCAAAACCCTAAACCCCAAACCCAAAACCCCCCAAACCGTAAACCCCAAACCCTAAACCCCAAACCCTAAACCCTAAACCCTAAACCCTCAACCTTTGTCCGGGTCGCTTCGAAAGGAGGCTCAGGAGCTTTGCGGCGTACTTCAGAGGCGCCGGCAATGACACCTGCTGGGGCCCAGGGCTTCGGGGTTTAGGAAATTTAGCCTAAACCCTAAACCCTAAACCCTAAACCCTAAACCCTAAACCCTAAGCCCCCTAAACTTGGTTCTTTGAGTTGCCGATCCACAAGAAATCGCCCTCCAATCCCCACATATACCCCTCAAGTCCCACCTACATTCACTCCCCCTTCCCCCTTAGGCACCCATAAGTTCAGGGGTTCCACCTCTTCGAAAACTCACAACCCTAAACCCTAAACCCTAAACTCTAAACCCTAAACCCTAAACCCTAAACCCTTTTGAGAGGACATCCTGCGGCTCTACGCCACAAAGGGCCGCAAGGGCGCATGCATCTCCAACAACCTAGAGGCCTAAACCCTAAACTTGTGGGTACTCGGGCTGAGGGATGTCCAAAACTTCAAAATCCCTGAGCCCCAAAACCCAAAACCCTAAACCCTAATCCCCCAAACCCTAAACCTTAAACCTAAACCCCGGACTCCACCCCCCAAAAGTTAACCACCATGGGGCCCCCCACCATTCCAGCAAAGGTCATGTACCTGATGGCGTTTTGGAAGTTGAGGGTGTGGAGTTTAGGGTCCAGGGTTTAGGGTTTGGGGTTTAGGGTTTAGGGTTTGGGGTTTGGGGTTTAGCGTTTAGAGCTTGTGTGGTTTGGCGCGTAAGGCTGGCAGGCCTTTAGGGGTTTCAAGGTACATGTCGGAATCTACTGCAGTGTGTAGATGCCAATGTAGAGTTCATGAGTTCAGGCCTTCAGCCCCCCGTCTGCGATCTCCATGAAGCCCTAGACCGCCCCAATGGCCCTACAATTGTAGATCCAGGAGCAACCGAGTAATTAAAAAAAGTACCCTTTATGGTTGAAAGGTGTTTATAAGGGAACCCACGCCCTTCAAAAAGTGCGGGCGAGATGCACTGCACACAGCCGGTAGGTCAGCTGTATGATCTCAGACTTCGAGAAATTCGAAGTGTTGTGCAGCCTCGGCTTGTTTGAGAAAGCTGCTGGACAAGGGAACCAAAGAATTCTGCAAGCACTGCCCTTGCAAATGAAGTATAAGGCTTTTTGGGGGGGTTCAGGTTTACGGCTTCTTGAAGACCCTGAATCCTAAACCCTTAGCCCTGAACCCCAAGGCCTGTACCCTTGTACCTGGTCTGGCAGGCCCAAGGGACCCTAACATTGGGGCTTTCTCCTTCATAGCAGAAGCCTAGCATAAGGGACCCCAAGAAGGCACCTCCAATTTCGAAAACCTCCATGTAGAGAACTGAGAATGCACCCGTCTGTCCACATGTGCCTTACGCGTCGGTCTACTTCCCTTCAGCGACTGGCCGCGTTGTATCTTGTAGACGTACAACCGCTTGAGTCTACTGACAAAAGTCTCAACCCTAAGCC